TTTTTTTTTTAAAGTAAAGAAATGAAATGTAGTGTTCCTCATACAGATGTTATTCACATAAGCCAGACCAACAGAAAAAGCCTTGAAGAGAGCTTGCAAGACTGGGTTCCTGCAGACGTATGAGCCACCAGGTACCTCTCAGGTTAAGATAGTTGGGGTGGGGTTAGGGAATGTAAAACAGAAAACACCTGACTGGTTTTCTCATCACATGGTGGTCCATTTGTGGTTCTAGCTCTAGTGCAGAGGCAGCCACCGCTTCACCTGAGAAGGGGTTTTATGGGTGATGTACTGCTAAGCCCAATACTTAAATTGAAACAAAACTTAAGTCTTCTATGCAGAGATGAAACATCTGGACTGTATAGGCCCAGCATGCCATTTCATCACAAGATGTGCTCACCTATTCTGAAGGATGTAGACAGAGGGAAGGGAGCACTTTTGTTTGGCTGGAACTGCAGGTCTGGAGCAGGAATGTTTTAATAAAGCATCCCTTTGAGCAGCAATAACTGCACTCCTACCATCACCAGCCTTGTTCTAATGCCTACAGAAAAGCCTGTAGAATAGAAAATGAGAAAGTGATGATAAGATCCATGCTTCCCTTTTTACTCATTGTTACCTGCTGTACCAAGAAGCCAGATTTTCCCTCACCTGAACACTAGGCTGCATTATTACTCTCAATGAAACTTCTTTTTTCCCCCTGCCTGATCTCTGGATGGAGATGCAATTACAGAAGTAGTATGGGTAGTACTTCTCCTTTTTAGACAGAGAAGAGGCAAGAGGAGGATGTTAGTTTCCTTCCAGTGAAAAGATTTTCTCTGCCTTCCCTTGATAACTGACCACACAAGCAACAAGGGAGTGTACAGAAAGTGCTTTTGCCTCTAGAGGTGTTTTGTCCAGCCACAAGCCCTGAGCCTTGAGCTCTGGCTCAAGCAAAGCATGTTCAAGATCCACAGGGGGCTAGAAGAGGCCTCTAAAGATGTTCCTCAAGAAGGAAGAAGCATACACATATTAGAGATAAAGAAACCAAAAATGCACTAAAATGGCACGTGTGTACAGAGATCTTTTAGAAGTGCCTGGGTCTTGTAGAAAGAACTATATTCCCTGGTATTTTGATAGAAAAAAAATACAATCACTCTTCCCTGCCAAAGAAACTAAAAGAATCAAAAAAGGTAATTATGAATCTCACCATTCCTTAAATGTATGAGACTACTCACGATTGGGGAACACCAGTTCTTAGCAGCAGCAGACCATGTCCTGCACTAGCAGACAGCTGTTTTCTTGTGTTTAAAGTCAAGTGAGAGATGCAAGAGATCTTTAGTAAAAACTCAAGGGAACAACAGCACTGGCACCAAATGCTATTTTAAAAGCCTTTGGCCAGCTCAAGAAAACAACTTTTTTTCTCCTTCCCTCCTCTGTTAATTATCCAGATAAAGGTATTATTTCATACATGCATCTAAATTTAGTGACCAGTATAGAATAAGCCCTTCTGCATAAGATCAACCCTCACCTGGTGGGTTTTGTACATTTTTTTTATATGGGCAGTGGGGGGAGAGGGATGGAAATCCTTTTCAACTACACCTGGCCAAAAAATTGGCAGGGCTCTCCTAAAGCAGCATTTTCCCTTTGTGGTAACTCACTAAGACACCTTCTATCATCTACTTCTCTTGTAAGGTGTTGGTGCTAGCAAGAAATAAATAAATAAAAGGGACTAATTTTACGTTTGATGAAAGTTTTGCAGCTGCTGAATAAGCAATCCTCTATCTGCCACCTGTGTGATTTCTGAAGCTTCTCAGTAATCCAGAATCGAATAGGATCTTAGGAATGCATACAGTATTTAATGCAACAGCATGCCACGGCATAGAAGAAATTATAGGCTCAAATTCAAAGTGTCCACAGCTCACCCCAACAATGTGCTGATAGAACCGCACTGGATACCAGCAAGGATTTCATTTTTTTAAAGAGCAGAAAATCTATTTAGAAATGCTGTAAAAGACTTGATTGAATCAATTATTGGAATTCTCATGGGTGGGTCCAAATATGCACACAGAAAAAGAAAGATTCAATCAATATCTTTAGACTCTTATAATAAGCCTTGTACAATTGAGCATATCCATTTTAAAAGGTTCAATATCTTGATCACACAGAGTAAGGTACACATTTACTATAGGCTGAAGAAACCTCAAATCCCAGCTTCCTTCTGACCCAAACCCTGTGCTTTTGGACCTTTGTCACTTGAGCAGGAATAAATGTTCTCATGTCTGGAGCTGAAATCAGGAAAGACTCATTGAGACACTTGCCACATTTAGGGAGAGAAAAAACAAAAGAAAAAAAGCAAGTTTTTATAAGGAGACTTGGAGAGAGGCAGGGATAGCAAATACAACTGAACTACTTGTGGGTCTGAAATGTTATAAGTAGCTCTTCTTGAAAAGGCTTAATGGGTAGAGTGCAGGTCAAGGGGATCAAAATGGCATAATAAACTCACATAATTCCATGATCATGTAGTTTATGCCACAGCTGAAGAGAGAATTATTCCATAACTGTCATGACCACAGATGTGGAGCACAGACCTATTTGGTCATGTGCTGTGTTTATATGATCACTTCTAGCCAATACAAAAATCCATCTCCAGTGGACTAGACACACTAGAAATAGTTACCTTTGAATATTTGAAAACCTTCATAATTCCAAATGTACATTTTTCTCGTTTAAAGTAAAATCAGCTGGAATGATTGTTTTGGGGTTTCTTGAGACCCTGCTTCTGAGTCTGAGTAGTGCAGAATGGGCCAAGAGCCATAAACATCTGAAAATGAAACAGAAGCTGATACTACTTTCATCCACAGCATTATATCAGCAGTGACAGTTAAGTAGCTACAGTCCATGCTGAAAGTGTTCTCGTTGCAGCATCAGAAATCCAAGTTGTGTTCTGCTTTGGTTAGAAAAAAAATAAGAATCTCATATCAAAAGGTCACTGCCCTTTGCACAAAGTATAACAACTCACCCACATTTAAAAGTGAAATCCCTCCCAGTCTGTATTTTGTACTTCTAAATCCTGTTAAGTGCTTTAAGATGATCTTAGCTAAAAGTGATCTCAGAAAATATGCTGCAAGTCCCAGGCAACCAAATATGAACACTGTGCCAGAGTTAATCCTATGCTGTGCACTTATTTTTGGTGCCTTTTCAAGGATGCCTCAGGTCCATCACAAGAACCCCAAATGTAAAACCTACAATGAATTCAGGTAACTAAAACTTTATAGTAGGTAATGAACAGGGCAGTCTAGATCTTCAAAGTAAAGATGCCAAACACAGATCATTTGCTGCACGAATCTGAGTGATTCTGTAGCCTATGGATGGAAGAGGAGTTTCAGAATGAATACAGCTGCATATACTGTACCCTCCGAGACCTGCACACCTCACATGGGCACCATCAGAAATGTTTCATTTGCCCGATGAAAAGTGATCTATGATTTAGGACCCAGGCATCTATATCTTCTGCATAAAAGGTGTGTCAGAACTAAGCCTTCAATAGACAGATTTCATCGATATAATGGAAGCAGCACAAAGACATCAAAGGAAGGAGGGACAGGACAGTTACTCCAAATAAAAGCATCTCTTACAGGCAATTTACTATACTCTTATCAAGGGGATCTAGTCTCGATAGGAAATGGAAGCTTTGATATTTGAAGGGGGGGAAAAAAGAGAGGGGCTTGTTTATTAGAATTTGAGATTGTAACTTTTATACCCATCATTTTTTTTCCCATTCCAAGCTAAGAAATTTGCTTGAAGATAAGGATGTGAGATATGATAAACCAGGTTTTGGAAATGGAGGTCAAACGAAAGAAAACACAGGGGAGAGACCCATCCTATGCAAGGAATATCCTCTACTACTCTCCCTACTGAGAGAACAGCTGGTATCAAAACAAGGAAATAGGAGTGTGGGACAAGGCTGAAGTCCTGGGAGGCATTCTGCTTATGGCTTATGGAAGTAGACAACATATTGAAGCAATGGTCCTGTCAGAGACATGTTAGCAACACAGTTTAAAAACAAACAAACACACACACACACACACACACCCCCCAGAAATGCTAAGTTCAAGTTTTAAACATAGGTAAATGTAAAAGAAAAAAAAAAA